ATTTTGATCCGGAAAAACTACTGGTGTATGTAAAATGATACCCTGAATCTAAAAATGGAAAAGTATATAAGAATTTTTTTTTTTTGCGTCAATAAATGGACAATATGGTATAGTTGCTACCCACCAAATTTCAAATTTAGATCTAGAATGATTCAGAAGTTACAGCTCTAGCCGTTTTTTGTGCACACCTCTGTATAGTTCACCACTGTTGAATTTGCTTTCTCAGTAGGTGATGATATGTATTTCAAGTTAATCCATAACACCGTATTTTAATGTAGAAATTGTGCCTATTTTCCGAAAATGAAGGTTGATCGAACCTGTCCACAGGTAATTCCAATCCTTCAGGTTGGGAAAGTAGGATATATATAAGTTTAGGCAAGCCAAGGTTAGTTTATTTCACCTGACGAAGCTACTGTGTTAGCGAAACATGTCGTGTGACTAAGAATTTTGTGGAAATCTCATCGTTTGTGAAGTTTTTAAATTAATACTGCCATGTAAGAAAAACGTTACTGGCTCTCAGACAATATTGTGCGAGATGATGCCCCTTTCGTTCATCTCAGTGCTTTTCTTCTCATTCCAAGAAGTCTTGTTCAGAGGACATATGGATGGTGTTGCATCCTTCAATCACCGCTCCAATAATATTGGTAATATCATCCAATCATGATATGTTCTCTGAGAAAGACTTCAAGACTAGACAGGCGCGCATCCAAGGGGGGGTACAGGGGGTAAATACCCCCCCTAAGGATTAGAAAAAAATTAACTGAAGTGAAATGAAATGAATTGTTTTCACGGAATTATTTTATTCAACGATAGTAGTGATATTCTTTCGTCCGAACCAACCGATATATATCACTAGAATTAACTATTTTGAATCAGTATGAACATACATTCTTTCACATTCCGATCCATTTTGCCCACCTACCTAATGCTTGGTTGTGAATCGAAGTGAACTGGAAGAACCAAATATTGAGATTATCTTCGATCACATTGTTCAGTTGTCAAGTTCTGTCAGTTATGTCCATCTGTCGAACGTATGAATTATGGAAGATGGGCAAAATAGAATATCTCATACTTATTACCTACTTATTCTCATTATAGGTACCGTCTTTCAGGAATTATATGGGATAAACTTTCAATAATAATAAATTTTGAAATTCGACTTGACTATTCAGTTTTGCTTCAAGAAGAGATAGAGAATGACCTACTCGGTGCACGCGTGACTCGATGAATGTCAAATGAAGTAACATTCTTCTAAATTAATCGCTGAAAATGGCTCACCTATCAAATTTTGTTCGAAAAGTTCACGAAAAAAAGTTGTTTCTATTTCAATTTCACACATCTGTCTCAACTTTCAGTTCTAGGTATTATTTTCAGTATCTACGAAATTTCTGTATTGAAAAAATGATACTTCAACATATTTACCCCCTCCAGAACTAAATCCTAGATGCGCTACTGAGACTAGATAATAAGGGAGTGAGACTATTAATCATTTGATTCTTTTTTCAATCTGCTCTAGGTGGGTGTGAAAATATGAAAAAGCAGCCTGTGTATCAGCCATACCATGATAAGCAGACAAACTCTGTTTCTCTCGCATTATTTGACGTCACTCTGGTCGCTCGTTTCGATTTTTCAATGAAACTAATATATGTATTCAAAACTTTGAAAGACACAAGTATTTTTTCTGTTGTTTTTCGTACTGAACACAGTATACAGGATGTTCTCAAAAATGAGGCATTTCTTCAAAGGGGCAAAATAGGCAATTCCACTAAGAATTGCCATTATAGAAATTACAAAACAAAAAAGATCAAAAAACCATCGAAAGATGTATTATAGATATTTTTGTATCTAGTGCGCGAAATGCTATACTCTGGTGATCGAGAACTGAGTTTTTTTAAAATAGTCGAGAAGACCAAAGTATTTCGCGCACGAGTGACAAACAACATTTTCTCTACAAACGTCAAAAAATATAGTTCTATAAAGTAGGTAGTAATATGCTTAGCTTCATATAAAAAATAGTGTTGAGCTTCGACTCTCTAATCTGTAACCTGTATTCTGTATGCAGGGTGTTAATTGTGTATGTGGCCAAGGGGTGATGGAAGTATTCCCTAGAACTTATGACCCCCAAAAGTTACAAAAAATCTACCTCCTCTCCCTGTCCTCCATAGGTACGCGATAAGTTCTACGAACATTATAGAGAAATTTCCTTTCGTGCGCTCCAAGACATAAAAAAAACTGTGTGATCCTAAGACGAAAAGTTCATGTACAGTTCATGTTCCAGAAATGATTCGTTTTCGAGATACAAGGTGTCGAAGTTTCAATGAAAAATCGTTTTGTTATCAATTAAGTACTCAAGATTCTGTCCTCCAATTTCAATGAAAATTGGAGATTTTGTTAACAGTATCAAGAAGCTCCTTTTGGATTTATTATAGAAACGAAATAATTATTCCAGTGGCGTCGCAGTCGGTTATCGTCATAGTTTTTTCCAAGTTTGTCCTCTACTGAATTTCTGTATACCACTTATAGTTCCTGAGGAATAAAAAATTGATTCGATTCAAACACCCATTCAGATTTCCTAATAACCTCAATGAGCATTATTCTGAAATCTTGTGACTTTTTCACCAACCAGACTCAATTTTGCCATCATGAAAGCTTATACAGGTCAATCATGAAAAAAACAATTGTCAATACTTTTCGTCGTAGAATCACCCAAATAATCGCCCCTTGAAGTTTGGCCTTGGCCACATACTTAAATAAAACCCTGTATATCTTTCCTCACACGATCCGAGACGAGAGCCTAGAGCTTAGAAGACATTCTCAAACCTCATTGGTTGATCACGTGGTACATGATTCCCTTATTGGTTAAAATAGATCACGTGCTAAATTGAGGTTGTGTTGTGTTTGGTTTGAAGGAGTTCATATTGAGTTCATTGGGTTTTTAATTCTGTTTGAATGGTTTGCACTTTGCCGCTTCGAAAATGAGTTAAATTGTTAATTGTAATTAAATATATTCGGCCCACCGAAGTGTTATTTCATACGGATACGGATCCACTCTCAATCTATTTCCCCTTCCCTGAGCTGCACGTATTCAAAACGTCCCGATAACGGGCATATACGAGCTTTTAGACCAATCAGGTCGATTTTGGCCTTGGCGGTAAATTCGAATCGCGGATCTTGGCGATTTTGAATCACCGAGTCATACATCGAATAATGATCAATGAATTATTTCCCAAGTGTCTGGTAATGTTGATTAGCATGTGATAGGAGCTAGATAATGAAATTTAGGGCAAATTGTTGTAACTTGAAATATATTTTGGTAAAACTGCATTTATCATGCATTTTTGGTACTTATGTATTGGCACTGGGACGAAATAGCGCAGGACAAAATAACGCGGACAAAAGAGCGCAGGACGAAATAGCGCAGGGACGGAATAGCGCAGAGACGAAATAGCGCAGAGACGAAATAGCGCAGGGTCATAATAGCGCAGAGACGAAATAGCGCAGAGACAAAATTGCGCGCGAAAATGGAGTGCAGGATCTATGATTAGGTTTGTTCGTTTGTTAGAGTAAAGACTCATTTTTCAAATACAAGGTGTTTCAAAATGAGTCTTTACCCTAGCAAACAAACTAACCTAATCATAGGTCTACTTTAACAATCCAACGGCATACCTAGTATTAAGTTACTTCGTTTGTAAGGGTAGTCTCCTTTTGAAACATCTAGTATTTGAAGAAATAGTCTATGCCCTGACAAACGAATTAACGTAATCATAGATGATGCACTACGTTTTCGCGCTCAAATTTGTCTCTGCGCTATTTCGTCTCTGCGTTATTATGACCCTGCGCTATTATGTCCCTGCGCTATTTTGTCCGCGCTATTTCGTCCTGCGCTATTTTGTCCTGCGCTATTTCGTCCCAGTGCCTATGTATTTTTGTCTGAACAACACGAATTTGATAATGAAAATGTGAATAAACCACTATTTATCAAGAAATTTAAAGAAAAAGTTCGAAATTTCGCCTTCTTTTTCCCCTCGTGTTAGATGCATTTACAGGTACTACTTGGTCTTTTTATTTTGTCATTGGACACTTTATATACTCATGATATTCTTCAATGACACATTCATATATAGAAAATTCAACAGGAAATATGATTTTCATGGCGTGTTTTTCATATTTAGTTGAACAAGCATAAGAGATGACGGCCATTTGATCAAGTCAATGCTTATGAATGACATTACACGCGCCATTATTTTAAATAATATTCTTTCTTCTTTTCACTGAATATGGATAAATCACAAGAAAATCATGTTTCTAGTTAACTCATATAATTTTAAAAAATGTATCGTAGGTACATTGTGATATACATAAATTGTCCAATGATGAAAATAGAAGAGCAAATTGTTCTAAATACGATCCAGAAGACAGGCGGAAAAGAAGGTGACATTTGTAACTTCATAGTGAAATATTTTGATAAATAATAGTTTGTTCACATTTTCATTATCAAATTCGTGTTTTTCAGACAAAAATAAAAAATACGTATGTACAAAAAAATTTAAAAAAATCCATCGCATGATCAATGCAGTTCTACCATTCCATTTCCTTTAATTTCGTGGTCCAAAAAGAGGAAGTAAGTTCTATACATATTAACATATATATATTATCATTGTGATTGTATATTGGGTGAAGTGCGTGCGTATTTTACCTCAATTTCCGATTTATTGACAATAAGTTGATCGAAATCAATGCTCTTATCGTAATGAAAATCTGCCATCACCTGTGGTTCAGAACTCCTAGAGTAGTTCATGATGACTCCAATGTCCGGAATAATTCAAAATTCAAACCATTTCAAACTGATGTTTATTCCAAATTAAAAAACTTGAGCCGAAACACGCACGCGTGAAATTCAACGTTGTGATTGGTCTAAAAGCTTGCCTATGCCTGTTATCGGGGCGTTTTGAATACGTGCCCCTGAGCTACGCTCTCGTAATTCGAGTTCCCCCTCTTACCTGAGTGGTACCGGCTCTCGTTGCGCGTGAGCCGCCGGTTGCCGCGGCGCACGGCGCGCGCCGCCGGTCCGCCGGCGCCGGTCTTACCCTCCTCCCGCGCCTGCTGCAGCGGCTGCGGCTGCTGCTGTGGCTGCAGGCGGCCCTCACCCACATCTACATGCAACAACGGCACTGAGCGACATGCGAACTCGGATGCGGATGCGCGAAGTCGTACTGCAGGCGTCATGCTTGTGTGTTTGAGCGTTACCATCGAGACAATAAACGGTTTGAGTCGGTAGTGGGGATTCCGAGTTGTGAGTGAGTTGGAATTGAGCGACTGACAAGAATAGGCCAAACATTAGCGTTTAAAATCAAAAATGGGAAAAAATAGCAAAACGTTTCAACTTTAAGTTATATTTCAGTGTTAAATGGAACAATACAAATTTGCTCCCTTGAACAAGGCCAGTAACATTGTTAAACATGTAAATTATAAACAAATGTGGTTATTTTGCAGAAAAAAAATGCAAAAGAGTCGCAAAATGGTGAAAACAATAGTTATTTATTATACAAGGGAAGCAAGTAGTAGATTTTAGCTCCAGGATATGTGTTGTCTCCCGACTCTCCCGACGCGTAGCGGAGGGAGACAAAAAACCGTGAGCTAAAATCTAATAATTTTCCCGTGTATAATACACTATTTTTTTCTGTGACAAAACAAAGGACGAATCAATATTGGGAAGATATTTCATCATTTTGAAATCTGAAAATTATCGACGTGGAATTTTAAGTTTTTAACAGTATGGACACCTGCGTTGTAGGCATCTTTATCATTCTTTCGAAGTAATCAAATATCTTATGTCACTTCTGTCAGTCTAATTCTGTGATTTGATTTAAAAAAAATTGCGAATTCAGTGTTTGTTTAGTAATATACGTAACCGCGAAGTCGAATGGAAGATAAAAGGACATGCAGTTCTTTCTCGGAGACGGTATTATTGACTCATATTTCGGAACTATAGCACAACAAAAGCCATCAACAGTGTTATGTATGTGATATATATCCGGGAAAAAAGTAATTTATGAAAAGTGACATTTTATAACCTGCCAACAGAGATGTAATGCCAAACTTTTTTCCCGTCACAGAGAAAAGGAACTTATACTCTTCTATCGTTTCTTGATTTTGAGATCATTTCCAAGTTTGGCATCACAATGAATAAATTAGTTATCCATACTTTTGTTAATAACTCGTCCGAAAGAAATCTAGAAGAGTGGCAAACTTATGAAGAGATGTTTCTATCTATGTCACGAATTTCTCTGAAAATTTGTCACCTCCGCCGATGACGGCAACATATTTTTTATTTTACTTTACAAAATAAAAATTGTGCTCGCAACTTGATTTATATGGAAAGAATGCAAAAGTTTTTCGAGTTTGTCGCAAATGTACGGAGTAGTTGCCTAGAAAACATTTGAAATTTGCCACCACGAAGAATTCGGGAAATGTAAAAAAATGAAAAAAATTAAATTGGTCATTCTCATAAATATTACAAAACTGCAAATTAAACTGATGTTTACTAAGTAATATTGAAACATGGATCAGAAATTGTTTCCTCGTACGATATCGGAAAAGTATAGTTATATCGGTCAGTAATTTGTTGCATAATTTTGAGTACGAGAAAAACGCAAAACAATCGCAAATCCATCGAACCACTCGAAATTGAATGTAGGTATAATAATGAATATTTCAATTTGCTTCCTCACGAAACGATGGGAAAAGTATTATAACTATATCTAAATATTCCGCAAATTCAGATCCATGTTTCAATATTAGTTTCTTATATCATCAGGTAAATTTGCAAAAGTTTTGTATTATTTCTGACAATAAATACTTTATTTTTTGTTTTTTCTACATTCGACATAGTTCCTGAATTCTTTGGTGGTGGCAAATTTCATAAGTTTACTAGGCAACTACTCCGTACATATGCGACCAACTCGAAAAACTTTTTCATTATTTCCATAACCAACTCATATTGCGAACACAAATTTTTATTGTAAAGTAAAAAAAAAATATGTTGCGGTCATCGGCGGAGGTGGCAAATTTCCAGAGAAATTCGTGACATACATAGAAAAACATCTCTTCAAGTTTACTCTTTTAGATTTTTTTCTGACGAGTTATTGACAAAAGTATGAATAAATAATTTATTCACTGTGATGCCACACTTGGAAATGGTCACATAATTAGAGAACGAAAGAGAATTATATGTCCTTTGTTTTGACCATCTTGCGACTCTTTTGCATTCTTTCTCTGCAAAATAACCAAAATGGTTTATACTTACATTTTTAACAATGTTGCCGGCCTTGTACGATGGGGCAAATTTGTATTGTTCTATTTAACACCAAAATACAACTTCTGTGAAAGTTTGAAATGTTTTGCTATTTATTCTCCGTTTTTGCTAGTGATTGGCCTAGAATGAGGAATTGCGAGTTTGAATTTGAAGCCAAAGTGATGGTGAAGGAGGAAACAATAAAACATAAAACTGAAACTGTTTTTTTCTTCAAACGGAGGGAGAGCAGTATATCTGTTGGGATTGCAAGTTCCAAATCGCGGGATTGAGTGAGAGGTAATCATTTCAATTTTCGGATCGGAAACAATCTTTGGAATTCTGAGAAGAAAATGCTTCTAAAAAAATGAAAGCAGTCTCTTTCCATGCGGGACAACACTTCATTTTCTGTACCGTGGACAGGACGATTTTACTTTGTTTTCCAAAGAAACACAGGCTAATTTTACAATATATTACAAGGTTTACAAAATTATGTATCTGTAGCCATTGGGAACTTTATTATTTATTAATAAAGATACACATTCAACTTAGCGAATTTTCAGCATTTTCCACTAGAAGAAATTGATGATCTGCTTTATCAACTTGAATTTAGAGTTCTGACTGAAAAAACTAAACTGCTGATCAATTGAACTTCAACAAGCCTATTTTTGCATCAAATTCAACAAATCAATATTTTTGCGATAAAACTTTTTTATATTGGCACATATTCATTTCGAAGATGATGAAAATATTTGGTGAAACAAGGATATAAGGCAACAAACAAACATCTGAGAAACGTTGAGAAATTCTCCATACTTTCAATTTGATGGAATACTGTTTGGATTTTACCGATCAAATTTTTATAATGTTTGTATTTTTTTCCTTATCTCTTCAAGTATATTCAGAAGGAATATATGGTAAAAAAGGGTTTCCCACTTCTTATCAGAGGAAATCCTTGATCAATAGTGATTTCTCAGGTTAGTGGTGAAAAGAATTTAGATTATTCAAACTAATTTTTCCTCATAAGTCCATCAATTGAAACTAGTTATTACTTGTTTATGCGTTTTTCTTCAGAATGAGTGAAGTGAAATGTATCATATCTCCCATTGTGATTTCGAAATAAACATAGACGATTGCTAAAACTTGAAACTTTGAATAATACATGGTTGTATTGAGGATGAAAAAAAACTCCCACGATCTGTGAAGACGCATAATCAGGACCATTTATTTCGAAAAATAAGTTGATGATTTAACGAATACGAAAAGTCGTTTAGACAAATCAATAAGTAGTTGCGAAGAGGTATTTTCAGATTTTCTCCATCTCCAATAATGAAAAAAAAAATGTTTTACAAAAATTCTGATGCAACTAAAATTTTGTAGATAAATTTGGAAACTTTTGAATGCTGTTGGAATGATCCTGTGAATGCACAACTTCTTTCCCATTTAACCAAATTTGTATCCGCTACCGTTTCATAGATCCCCATGCTGTGATTGCTGTGCAACTTTATCTTGGTCACCCTGTGTAGGTGCTTATAACTCACAATTCCAACTCTCACATTATTGTGATTACTATACTCAGAAACAGAAATCATAATATTATATAATACTTGGGATTCTGATTCTGATAAACAACTCGGATTTCAGAGTAGCCATTACCTGAAATTTGATTAAATTCGCCCTTTCCGACGAAAAAACTGATGAGCCTTTGTACGACTTCGGACAAATGCGCGCGGTAGTGAAAACAAAAATTAGCGAAAAGGAAAATGCATTTGAACCAAAAACAATGAAAGATCAGAATGATTTGGAACTCCAAATTTATAGGGAATAACTGAAAATAGTTCCGTGGTCAATTAGATCAAAATGTTGGATCGAATGCATTTTCATTTAAAAGAAAATATATACAAAATACAAACTAGGTAGTTGTGTTGTCACGTTTGAAAAACCAAGCATCGCCAAGACAAATTCTACAAAGCAGCAGACACCACCTCAAAAGCTCTAAAGAAAATGAAAAAGTAACGGAACAACAATCAGGCACACGGCGAATATGGTTCTCTCAGTGAAATGAATTGGAAGCATCGAGTATGAAAGCGTTTTCCCTTCATAATATGTTTGCATCTACAGTGTCATTCATAAAGTCGGCATCATATGGGAAAAACTTTTATTGATGACTTATTTTGGAATTCGAGTTGGACGTTAAGTTTTGCTTCAAAAAAGATTAAAAATAGCCTACTCAATCGGGGTCACGTGACTTTCGCTACATCTCAAAAGTGACATTTTCTCAAATTAATCGCTGAAAGTAGGCTTATTTGTTCAAATATCGAAAAAGTTTACATGAAAAATTTGTTTCCATTTAAATTTTACACATGCTTCTCAAATTTGATTTTTCTATTGTAACTTTTAGATTTTGATTTTTTTTGAATTTTTCGAAATTTCTGTAATACTTATTTGAAGAATTGTTAATTCCACGAAACTACTTCATACCAGTAGGTTATTCATGCTTCTCACTTTCAATTAATTATCGTCACTGATTATGGACAGAAATATGATTTTCTTCAGAAAATGATAATACCCGCTTCCAAATTCTGTTATGTTCGATGCAAAGTTGATATATCGTCAAGCATTTAGAAACGAAATTCATTTAAACTGATCTTTTCAGTACTGAAAAAATAAATTTAAATGAATTTCGTTTCTAAATGCTTGACTCAAACATAACAGAATGTTGATGTTATGTCTGTACCAAACATAACAGAATTTTGAAGCGGAGATTATCATTTTTTGAAGAAAATCATATTTTTGTCGATAATTAGTAATTGATAGTTAGTAGCATGATGAAGCTACTGGTATGAAGTAGTTTTATCGAAT